AAGCTAAAATCGCACGACGGTTAACTCAAACACCTTCACAAAACCGCAAATATTTCATAAAAATATGGCAAATAAGAAAAAAAGTACAACACATTAAACTTGAATAATTTTACTACATTTATACGATATTTTTAGCATTCAAATGTATTCCTATGCATGTAAAAAACGTGAATGTTTTTTGGGTTTCTGGCAAATATATTTCAAAACCTATATATGCTGGGGACACCTTGCCTATACCTTCATCATATTTTTAAATTGAAAATAGAAAGCTGATTGGCTCTTTTTAAATGACAGCCAATCAGCTTTCTATTTTCAATTTAAAAATATGACGAAGGTATAGGCAAGGTGTCTCCGCATTTCAAATTTTTTTTTAAATCTAGGGAAGCAAAGTACTGTACAAGGTCCCCAAATATCCAATCAACTGCCACTCTGGTCTTACTCATCGACTTGTTAAATGTAAGCTCCATTTGTGTTACATTTCCTTTGAATGGCGTAATCAAGTGCTCTCGTAGTGGGTATGCTGGATCCCCATACATGCAGAGTGCTTGGCCAGTGATTGGGTCATTACAATGTTGCTCAAGTTTTGGTAACAAAGCAGACTCAGCTAACATGCCACTGTCATGTCGCCGGCCTTCCACTGGCCCAAACAGGTTGGCAATCATTCCATTGAGCACGACTATGCTTTGAAACTTTATTACATGTACCGCTTATGGCCATTGTATCTCTTTGGTTGATGATGGGTCTTGACACTGGCCTAACTGTCCCATCAATAAACCCCCAGCAGTTGTCAAGTGCAGCTCCTTTCGCATGTATGATACTTGCAAAATCCAATAACTTGGCTGGTGTTAGCCATGATTGGTTGAGACTGGATAACAAGTGAGCATATTTCTCATACATGAGATCGACCATTTGACTGACTACCATTGAAATTTGAGGAACTGGCCTGCCAAATAGGGACACCAAATCTTCATACCTGCATGGATAGGCAAATCGCTTCAGCATCATGCACACAGCTTTCTCGCGGTCCACGGAGAAACGGTTAGACAAACGATTCTTTCAAGAAGGTCGAAAATATCGATTAATGTGTATACATCATCCTTGTAAAAACGAAATTGGCTTTTGCATTCATCGTCAGATAGCAATTAAAGATTGATGCTGTTGTAGCGCCAGTAGGGCATATCAAGATTTTTAGACTTGTTGGCATGTCGTAGAAATTCAAAAACATTCGCAACAGAAATTCTTCGTCATTTACTATGCCCTGGTCGTTGGCAAGATAAAGGGCCTCTCGTGTTTCACGAAACGTACACATAGCTAAAATCAATCTGAAGTCATCTTTTTTTTGCGTAATGTTTTGTGTATATAGGACGGTGACGCAATTGCTGAGGAATTGCTCGCGTCAATTTGCAACAATTGCGTCAGTGATGCGTTACCATAGCAGGCACCGTCCTATTTGCGTAAGCTCTCTAATATAAGACTGTTCAGACAACATGAGCGTCGCGCGAGGTCAGCGAGATTAGCGAGATCAGTTCTGGGCCGCCTATGATATAACTACATACTTTCTGCCGGTAACAGTAACCTTTAGCACATGTGATTGATATCCGTAATTCGTAAACAATATTCCACATTTCCGACAAAGTTCAAAAAATATTCAAGTATTTGAAAAACATTTCATTATAAAGAAATGTATGTCAGCTAATCGCATAAATAATCGTCCACAATATTGTTCTACTGATATTTTCAACACGTTTTAATATTTATTTTTTCTGGCATTGGCAAAAAAGTGTCTACAAAAACCGTGCACAATAAATAAATCGAAAAATACAAAACAACAAGGCTTCACGGCAAAAATAATTTGTTTTTAAAATTTTATAAAAAACAGGGGGGGATGCTGTCGTTTAAATAAACCAGGGGAAAGCATTCTCCTGTATGGTGGCCGATAGCTATCATAGAAAATCAGTTTGATTAAATCAATATGAAATTTTCAAAAATATATAAATAAAACGAAATAAAATAAAAAACAAATGATAAAGCAAATTAAATTTTGAATAAAATGAAAATAAAGTGCTTTTAAAATCAAAGGCAAAGCCAAATTAAATTGAAATTAAAAATACTACCGGCCGAGCGCTATCAAAGCAAAATCAAATTGAAATGAAATGAAATTTCTTACCGCGGCCGAGCGCTATCATAGTACACCGTGAAGCTTTGCGCCGCTTCGCTACTACGCTGCTACATTGAAGTAAATACAACTGGAATGATAACTCTGTGATTAGTCCTATGATTGGTTGAAGCCAACTCGTACTAGAAGAATTTCACTCCCCCCGGAAACAAAACCGAAGGGGGCGTGCTCGAGACTCGAAAGTCAAAACTGTTCAAAGGGTGCTTTTTGGCCTTTTTTTCGTATTTATGTATTTCGAATGAAAAGTATTTTGCTTTGAAAGAAGCGAGTGCTTTAAAGAGGTGGACTTTTTCGAAAAGTGTGAAAATTACAACGATCCATGTTATTTTTTAACGAAAAATTTTCAAGACAAACAAGACATGTAAATCAGTTATGTAAATGTTTAATGACAACGCCGTATAAAAACAGCAAGCACACAAAGATAAGTACAAATATATCGATATTTTTTTACATGTAACATGTCTATTGGTTTTTAAACAAAATTAACTTTGTTAAGTGAAATCTGTCACTTTGTTTCCCATTTTGAATAACTGATTGACAAAAACGCTTGCCGTACGTGAAGAGCCGGAGCGTGAAGTACTTCTCGGCGATGTATTTGATCAACTTCAGCTTGTGGTCTTCATCAAAGCCAACTTCATTCAATCCGGGATCATGATCGCCAAAGATATTTAAAGTACATGATTCATTGGTTACAAAATGATAGCAAACTTCAAAGATCATTTTACTTCGTAGCTTTTCGCTTGAGTTGATGTTCTTTCCATCCTTGACAACAAACGCTTTAAAAATATGTTCAGCATATTTGACAACGGCGAATACCGAATGCGAGGGGACGGTTAAACCACCTCTGTTGACAAATAGTGTGAATGCTGAGGCAGCTGGAGTATCAGAACTTTGTGTCGTTTTTGTACCGCAGTAGTCGTGGTCGCCTGCATGATGCAGGGGACGAAGGACTTGAAATTAGACAACTTTTACAAGCTGTGCAGGCAATTAATTTTAGCAACTTGGTTACCACAAATCCACAAAAATAAAACAGAATGTTTTCGATAAAGTCTTAATGTCCTCTCTCTGCTAGCTGTTCAACTAGCAGCTGCTCTGTTAAGGTGAAACTGGAATCATTTTCTGGCTTTTCTTCTGCATTGAGTGGGATTCTATGCTTTCTCGTATGGAAAGTCTATGCAATTAGAATTTCTTGAAGCCTTTACTGCATTCTTGAAAAGCATTTTTCTTAGAGCATATTTTAACTGCATATGTGAGGGGTATAGATATTTGCAGGAAGCACCCCTCCCTCCCTAGTTAGTTTTGTCGTATAAGAGTGGTCACGTGACCATGCGAAGACACGTTGTTTTGAGAGAGCCAAACGTTATGGTTTCGTTTTAAACATTTGTGTGTTTTTAAACACTGTAATCTTTCAATAAACGAGTTCAAATTTATTCTACTGGTGCTATTGCGAAGTGGGGCACTGGTAACATTTTGGCGACCCTGCCAGGACTGCTCTAAAAGGCATTTTAACTTTGAAAATAGTGGGCAAAGACGTGGACATATTCGGTCGAGGCGTGCGTGTGAGTACAAGTCATATTCTGACGTTCATAAAATAAAAAAATACGGGTTTTTATGACTTAATGAAGGCGCATTACTTGTCGAAGTGAACAATATGAATCGGCTTACGCGTTAGGGGACTGTTTCAGTGTGTATGTGTGGTTAGTCTTTTACACTTCACGATGGCGGCGGTTGATGAGGAAATTGAAGCATTACAGTTACAACTAGAGTCGGAAGTTTGTGGACTTACAATGGAAGCACTAACGGAATTTGCCCAACGCGTAGAAGCCAGTACCGAGGGACTAAGACGAATGCAGTTGTCGAAGGGAGTTCGTCAGAATATTGAGACAAATCTAACAGAAGCGGAGGACAAGAGAGCACTACTTACAGGCTATCTTGCGTTGGTGACACCGGAACCACCCCCACTAGAGATACCAGATGAAGCGGTGGAGAACACTCAGGGGAATGAGAATGGAGCACCAGCAAAGGAAACTGAGTCTGAGAAGGGCTCAAAAGATCTGGCTAATAAACTAAATGTTGATCTGGTAAAAGCACTAAAGCGCGACTTTAAAATTATTGGAGTAATCGGTGGAGATAAACAAAAGGATAGTTTGTCATTTGTAAGCCTCGCCAGACAGATTGAGACTGGGATTAAATCAGGTTATAAGGAGTCTGTGGTGGTTAAAGCAGTTATTAGAGCGGTGAATCCAAGTTTGAAGTTACGGTCGTATTTGGAAATGATGAATGATATGTCATTGGTCCGATTAAAGCAAATTTTACGGGCGCATTTCAAAGAAAAATCTTGTTTGGAGGCAGTGGCGTAGGAAGCAAGTTAAAGTTGCACATGCTTTCAGGGGCACTTCTTCATAGAAAAAGGGCACCATCAGGTTAATTCATTTTCGGTTGCTAAACAGCGCAATTCTTGTCTTGTCTTAAAAATATGAATTTAGTTTGTGTTTGTATTTCACATTTGTAATGCAAGCTACATTAAAACAGCAAATTCGTAGTATTTTCAAAAAGTATTGTTACCTTTTAATATGATAATATTAATATTAATATAAATGTCATATATATATTAATTGTGAGTATTATAGCCGCATGGTGCGCGGAACCATGTTTTATGCTGTCTCATCATGTAATGAGAGTTTAAAATTTTAACATGAACTTTAACAAGAAAATTTTGGAACTTTGAATGTTATAACTTATAATATAAAATCCCATACAAGATCTGTATTCTGTAACACAGTAAAAGCACGACAAGGATTGATGTTTGTGGCAGTTGTTTAGTTCAGTGGAATTTGCCAAAAAATCTTATACTTCTGTCATTTTTTTCTGCAAATGCCTTAGCAAGGTCCCTAAGATCGACGTTATCTATTCTTTCTTTGTGAATATTAAACATAAGAAGATTATTGTATCTTTTCTGTGCCATGGTGCTCCTCAGATAATTTTTGATGTGTCGTTGAACTGAAAAAGACCTTTCAGCAGACGCGGCACTCATTGGAGCCAGCAGGTAGATTTGTAGTAGACGAGCGAGATTCGGTACAACAAATGCACCATTTTGCCCTTGTGTCACTGCGGATATCACGGTATCCATTGTAGTCACACGTCTAACCTCTGGTAGACATTGCTTGATTATACCAGGAAGAAATTTAAGCTCAATGTTTACTTGATCAAAATCGATTTCCTTGTTGTATTTTTCTTTGAAGTCATCGCTTATATCACATGGATCCCTGTTAGCAGCATTTAGGATAACGTCTTCTATGTGCTGAAGAGGTGCATATGACCTTTCATCAAATTGCCTATTCAGTTCTGCAAGGATTAGGTCAATTGCCTCATAGTACCGAGCTCGAAACAGTGATTTCACCGAGTCATGCTGATGTTCCACAGCATCTCCGTCCTGTAACCGTCGTGGAACCTTTCTTTGACGAGGAAGAACTGCCTCTTCCACCATACCAACAGCACCCCCCTTCTTTTCTGTTTGATCAAAAAAGATATTGTAAGAATCTCTCTGAAGCTGCAAGTTGTCCTTTAAAGCACCACTCCAACCATCACAGTGCGTGCAAGGATTCCTTTGGTCTGCATTGTAGTCGCGAGCTGTTCACAGACGCAGAAAAGGCTCATTGCGAACTGCAAACCAAAAAAGGTCTTAAACTCGGTCATTTTCATTGCAAATCCTGCTGCTTTGTCACGCTTTTTTCGGTCACTTGTTGTTTTCGAAATACTCAGCAACGTAGAATGTAATGCCTGGTAATTATTCAATACTGTAGCGATTGATCTTGTTCTCACAGTCCATCGAGTTGGGTATAAAATATGGAGACTATCAACAGATTCGTCAAGACCCAGTTCTTTTGCAATACATTCGTATGTAGCCATTCTCAGCGGCGAGTGTCGAATAAAGACAGCTAAATCCTGCACGAAACTCAAAGAATCACTAATGACTTCACTTTTTTGTGTACACGATTTTAACGCTAGGTCCAACCTGTGATTTGCACAATAAATACGATGAGCTGCAGGGTTTTCAGCCTGTATTCGAGCCGCAACCCCACTTAGATGACCACTCATTGTTGACGCCCCATCATAAGCTTGCCATCGACATGCATTTAAGTTGAGATTACATCTCAACAAAATATCTTTCAGTGCGGCTGTTGCGTTTCAGCGTCAGGTTTCTCGATCAGATACATTCCGAGAAAGTCTTCATGAGTTGTCAAATCTGGCAAAGTCACCCGTCGCAATATGCATGTTAATTGCTCTTTGTTACTGATGTCACAGGATTCATCCGCAATCAGTCCGAATAATCCTGAATTTCCTTTAATATCTTGCAAGATTGAACGTAAAACGGTGTTGCTCATCATTTCAATAAGTTCATTAATAATCTCTGGGCTGATATATCGTCTGTCTTAAACCCATTGTATTAACTCAGGAACATCTTCCGCTCTTGTCTTGAGCATTTGAATTAGATTACTTTCTAGTGATTCGTGCCCACGAATAGCAAGGCCTTGATGTACAAGATACTTTAGACTACTCAGCTGTTTAAGAAAAAGGAACCGGTGACATTCTTTCTCGTCTTTATATTGCTTTTCCAGCCGGACACCAACTTCATGTTAAGATTCTTCAAGAACAAATATTTCTCAACACACTCTTGGTGGTATTTGGAATTCTGATGCTTCTCTAGCTTTTCCTGACATTTCTTCCAATTGCTGAAGTTCCCTGAAAAGAACGCATTTTCGCTGTGGTAACTGAACAAACTTAGCTGCTTTTTGACGGCTGTTTTGCAGAAAAAACAAGCTATAGTACCTCTTGTCAAACAGTATGTTATTCAGCTATGTTTTGTAAAAATGGACGATGGACACTGTCGGTTTTTTCCATTGCTGCTGATCTGCTTAACGAAGGTTTTTTGTAATTCTTCGGAGGTTGGTTTGTACGGAGAACTTTGTGTGCAGCATATTGATTGACAACCTAGATCTGGGCTGCAGGTAGACTTGTGAGTTATAGGACTTGGAGACATGATGACAAATGGAGAAACATCAGCCTCAGAATCGTGGTCTACTATAGTGGACTGAATTGACTCGGTAGATTTTATCACTTCTTGGCATAAGTTTGATCCTAATCTTTCAGCAGAAGTAGGCTCAGTCTGATGATCTGAAAGTGGTAAGTCAGCTGGATTTTCAATAATATCGAAACCTTCTGGCTCATGTGAATGTAGACTGGAATCCTGTACATCAAGAGTCCTTGTCGGACTCTTAGACTCGGTGGATGCATCTTTCACAGTATCAGGGGAAGGGTTCTTTAATTCGCGTGAACGTGAACTGAAATCTTCTGCAGGAAGCTGAGAAAGGTTAGTTATCGAATAATTCGAATCCTGGGCTTTGGACGAACTGCCCGAAGTTTTAGAGAAATCAAATGTACTGAGTTTTTGTGTACCGGATGCTGCCTCGTTTAGCTGTTTTACCCGTAATCTTTTGCCACGTTCTTTTCAGGGCATTTTGACATTCGAAACTGATATCAAATTAATAAAAAATCGCCAATGAGCTCTCTTTAGCAGATTTGCTTGAATTACATCTCTTCTCGATCAATGAAGCAATTTTGCTGAAGAGTCGTTATTATTATATCAATATAAATATTATAATATAAATATGAAAGCGTGGTATTTATTTATAAATGTCAAATCCCAAAGTTTTGGGTTTGGTAACTTAGCAACAAGAAGACGTGATATTTCCGGTTTGGAAACTTCCGGTATTTGTGCTATTTTTATTCACATAAACGTCGCAATTGGCAAGCCAGGGTTCCTCGATATTTAAAAGCTAGCGAATGCTTAAATCCTAAAAAAATTTACTACATTCATTAATTTAGGCACAAACTCTCATAAGGGCATACTAATGTTAGGTATGAAAAAGGGCACTTTCCTTATAAAAAGGGCACTTTTTGTTATCTTTTTGAAAGTTGGGGGCACGTGCCCCCAGTGCCCCCCCCCCCTTCCTACGCCACTGTGCGGAAGTTTATCAAGAACTGGCTTCATTGTGCCAAGGCCCAAAGGAGTCAACGCAAGAGTTCTTAATAAGAGCTATGAATCTACGTCAACAAGTTATTTTTGCCTCTCAGGCAGATGATAGTGTGGTCAAATATGACAAAACATTGGTCCAGTCCTTGTTCTTGCATGTTGTAGAAACAGGGATGCAGCAAGAATCAATACGGGCCAAGTTACGCCCTCTTTTGGAAAAACCGGGGGTCAATGATGAGGAATTAATAGAAAAAGTTAATGTGGCGGTGTCTGCAGAAACCGAGCGACACAACAAGATGGCTGGGGCTGAGAAGAGTGCTCAAATTAACCAAGTTATGACCAATCAGGAACGTGGGTGTACCACTCAACACGAAAGCGAAGATCCAGTCTATACTAAGAAAAAAACTTCAAAAACGAAGGAAACCCTATTAAGTGGGGAGAAAGTTAAGCTGGAAGCAACGCTGGAATCGGTCCAATCTGATTTGGCTTCACTGAAAGAAGCATTTAATCGGTCACAAGAAGGTAAAAGCAAGTTGATAAGGGACAATCACGGAATCCACAAAGACGACGGAAAGTTCTTTGCGGCTCTTGTCAACAGGCTGGCGAACAGGTATGTGATCATTGCTTTAAGTGTGGGTCAAGTGAACACTTCTCAAGGGGGTGCAAGAAGAATCAGAAACGAGAAACGGCTACGACCAAGGGACGGGGAGTAGCCCAGGAAACTGGTTTGTCCCATTCTTGTACATTTTGTAAAGTGAATGAAACAGATACTCCGTTTAAACATTGTGGCAAGTGTAAATTTTTCAGATATTGTTTGCAATCTTGTCAGCAAAAACATTGGAATGAACACAAAACATTATGTAAAGAGTTAACGGACCTGCATGAACAAAGATTAAGAGAAAACATGATTGACAATATTGTCTATGCATGTCACCATAGACAATCCAAAAGACAGGGACTGGAAACGCTATTGCAGGGCGCTTATATAGAGGGCGGTGAAACGCGCTTACTGCGCGCCGATCGATGTGTGATGCGGGAGGCTGGTGACGAAAATGCTTGAAGTGAGCACATTTCAAATATGGCGGATAATCCTGAACCAAGATTAGAAGAGCCAACAGAGGAAGATGTCATACTTGATCACGGTGGGTGGGCTGTTAAACGAGCCAGGGATGTTATTGAAAAAGGACTCGATAAATTAGCAGCAACAGAAACTGCATCGGAAGATGCCGACGTCCTTTACGCCAATAAAACTGACGCACTGGCAATAATTTCCCTTTTGGGGCAAGACGTTCAACAGCCAGACAAACGTTACAGGTTTTGTGTAAACAAAAACGTACTTCCTTTTTTCCTTTTTCTGCATCAGTTAGTGGAAAGTATGTTAAGCCACAATAATATTTTGAGAGAAAAGGGAAACATTTTAAAGTACTGTCTGAAACAGATGTCTGTGCATAAAGACCTTCGCCGTGAATGGAACGCATTACTACCGCCAGATACGGATCCAACAACATCTGTTGTTGTACTACAGAGGATCGTAACGTTCTTCCTGAAGTCAAAACAACAAGTTTTCCGAGAGAAGGAAGGTCTCAAACCAAATAAGAAAAGTTCTTCCTTAAGACAACAAATCAGAGGGTCTTTAAAACCGAAAATTTCCGTAAAAAAATCTTATATGCCTTCAGTTCCAACAATACCTAGTCAAATTTCCACTTTGAGAAATGACTTTACCCCTCCTACAGTTGAAACCTTCTTATCCCATTTAAAAACTTTGCCTCAAGATCAACAACAAGCACTTTTAAGCTCTCTCCAGGGAAGAGAATTGGCAAAAATTTTGAAGGGTATAGGAAAGCCATCCTTTTTGGGAAAGAAAAAAGAAAGACAAGTTCAATGTCTTATCAAAGCACTCCAAAACGAAACAGTTAAAGTTCAATTCCCTGATAAGGTATGTACGAGAGCACTTATATAGATAGGTAAATTCTATTGCCATATATTCTTCAGAGATATTATAAATTTAAAATGTTGTTAAACAATCAAAGCCAACAAGATAAGAATTTAGTAACAACTGTGATTGACCAAAACTAGAGTTTTATGAGCAAACCCCATGATGAAAATTATGTTTCATTTTTGTTATGTCTAGATCTGCTAATGTAAAATCATTCTAACTGTGGAAACCAAGTATTTTGATGTGTATATATAACAAATGATTGATTGCAATAATCCAATCAGTAAAAAGATGATGGCATGACAATATGACCAAGAGTATGTTCAACTTGAAATCACAGATGGGAAACATTTGATACAATATATCAGCACAATGGGGTAGTTATTAAAAGTTTTCTTTGTGACATTAGTAAAAATATATATTCGATTCATATCCTTAATGGTTTTATTTAAAAAGCTTGATTGTTAGACTGAAATTTAACATGAAATAACTAAATTTCAACCATGCAAGAACTAGG